ATATATATATATATATATATAATATATATATATATATATATATATATATATATATATATATATATATATATATATATATATATATATATATATATCTATATATCTATTTATGTAATTGCGCTGGGTATGTTTCCATACCCAGGGCAATTACTAGATCGACGCTCTACCAACTGAGCTACACGGACCGTGTAGCTCAGTTGGTAGAGCGTCGATCTAGTAGTTCGAAGGTCGCGGGTTCAAGACCCAGCCGCGGCAGACAACATCTTTCTGCTTGCGCTGGGTATGGAAATTATATAATACACACTCTAGAACATTTTCATTTTATTTCGGTTGTCTAGATATATATAAAGTGCTCAATACTAAAAGTATTGCAGAGCTTATTAGATTAGTCTACGTATATGGCGGTAGACGTTGTAATTTCTGCATAGAAGAGAAATTAGAAATCATGAAATCTCATAAAAACGAACGCGCGCGAACAAACAAGTTAACGCGTCAGCGAACGGTTGATGATGATGCAATCACGTAATCTGTAACAAAATCGTGAACAAAATCGCCTGATGATCGTCTAGAAAGGAAGTGAAACTCAGAGTAGCGATATTTAATTTTAAGATATAGACAATATATATATATATATATATATATATATATATATATTTATATATATATATATATATATATATATATATATATATATATATATATTATATTATATATATATATATATATATATATATATATATATATATATATATATATATATATATATATATATATATATATATATATATATATATATATATATATATATATGTATATATATATATATATATATATATATATATATATAGGAATGTTTCGAATGACACCAGTCTTGTTAATTTCCTTTCGAAAACAAATCTCTGCTTCGTTACCCTGGCCCAGAGGTTTTTTAGGTACTGCTTCGTGTAAAATCCTAACAATATCCTGGCAAAGGGTAGCAAGACCACCCCTTGTCCTGGCTAACATAGCTTCAGATACTATTAAACTTTGTAACAAAGCTTCAAGTTCAGGTTTTTCTTCCCCTGAGTTTCCTTTACTTGCTTTATTTAATTTTGACACAACATAGCCTGCAATGTATGAAAGAGGTCCATGTTCGCTAGGCTGAATTTCGTAGTCTGCAGATTCCAATATTTTTTCTCCCACTAGACCAACGTTACAAAACCCAACTAAATGATCTGGAATATGGATCATAACTATAGCAACTCGTGAATCTTTGCAATTTAAAAGTGTTGACGAATTTAGCATCAATCCATAAAATGACTCAAGCAGCTTTTCTGCGATAATATTGCTTTTAATTGTGCCCACAATCGACTCTATTGTGTCAAAACAAAGAGGTGTCGTGTTCAGAGGGGATGAAACTTTGTCTGGGTCGCCATGTTTCGAGTTGGTGTGCTTCGTTAGACTACCTTTCGGCTTACATATTTTGCTACAGTTCGAGCAAGGGGAATACTTTTGCGCCTTCAATTTCAACTATTGAATCGGCAAATTCGTTTTCGACTTCTTGATAGTCGGTTTCTACAATGTCAACAGCAATGTTTATGTTGTATTAATGAAACCGTTCATTATGCTCGAAAGAGCTTTCGTCTTGCTCACTCCTTGTCGACAGCGGTGGAACAATATCACGTCTTCTAGGCGAAGTTTCCCCCGAATCGTCCCTCAAAATTTGCCTTACAGCGTGTTATTCTTGCCTTTGCTCTTCGAAATCCATAGCAATCAAATTTTAGCGGTTTAGGGGCCATTCATAAAGGATGTCCGAGCCGAGGGGGAAGGGGGGTTTGGAAAATCAGGAAAAACTCGGACATAGGGGGGAGGAGGGGGGGGGGGTTAGCAATCCGGATGTCCGAAATTTAAAAAAATTCAAAAACAAATTTCTTTTTCCCTCTATTTTGAGCAGTCCTTCCCATTGTGAAATTGGCATTTTGACTATGCGGTTAACACTAGATTTTGTTTTAATTAGTAATTTATATGTTTTTGTGTTCACATTTACAGTTATAAAAAAGTTCTAAAAGTAAAAACAGTTTTTTACTCTTGATATATACAAGGTTGCGTGAGTTTTTGCGAGGCATGGCGGATGTCCGGGGGGAGGTCACTAATTCGGACAATGCCGGACAAAGGGAGGAGGGGGGGGGGTCTGAAAATCCATCATTTGGCCGGACATCCTTTGTGAATGGCCCCTTAAGCGATGAAATATGTATCAAATTAGAGAAAGCCTAATAAATTCACTATTGTTTACCCGAGGCCATGCACACTAAAAGTCACGTGACTTTTTTCCCTTTTGTAATGATTATAAGAGAGTAACTATCTTTATTCTAGCTAGTATATAATGATGCTAAGTCTATTTACAAAAGCTCTATTTATACCCTAATTCTAATCGTACCAGGCTTACTCATGCATATATAATTAATCATGACATCTCCCCCTTTCGGAGAGATAAATTAAACATGCAATAACACTAATTAAACAAAGTTTCTAATTTTGTCCTACTAGAATGTAATTCAGATTAAATGTCATTTAAAGTTAATTAAATACTAATAATCCTATATAGAGTTAATAAATTGTTCGTAATCTAGTATTTATTGTAAATGTTTTCTTTTCCAATAGTTATACTAATTTAATGTTCATAATCCTGTATCCAGGCAGTTGGTCTAACATTTCTACCAGATCTTGTTTTATACGGGGACTTCTGGTCCGCAACAGGAATGGAAGAACACGTTGAAGGAATGGAAGAACACGTTGTAGGTTCTTGGGCAATAGCAGTGGATTTGAGTATCAGATGTTGCTGGTTCCATCACTTCCATTTCATTGTCTCCCAAATCTTGTGGACCTTTTCCGATAAAGCTTTCATCTGTGCGCAGAAGATCTCTCCTATTTCTTCTTAATAATCTGCCTGTTTCATCTTGTAAGATGTAAGATCTAGGCGTATCTGCCTTCTTCATTACTTGTGCCATGGAGTTCCAGCTTTTTCCATGCTGAATCCTTACCGTTGATCCCTCGGCAAGAGGACGAAGGGACTTTGTCTTGACATCATAATATTGTTTCTGTTTCTGTTGTTTCTCTAGTACAGATTTGTTCAGGTGCAATGTTTCTTGCTTCAGTCTTGGTAGTCTTGTACGTAACTTTCGATTCATCAACATGGTGGTTGGTGCTGGTGATCCATCCGGACCCGGACATGCTCTGAAATTCATCAATGCTAGATATGGATCTTCTTCATCTCTAGAAGTCTTCTTCGTTAGTGACTTTATTGTTTGAACTGTGCGTTCAGCTTTGCCATTTGCTTCAGGATGATAAGGACTAGATTTAATGTGCTGAAATTCCCATTTCTTTGCAAATTCTTGAAATTCCTTGCTTGAATATTGCGGACCATTGTCCGATATAACAACTCTCGGAATGCCGTGTCTCGCGAATATCGATTTAACGTGCTTGATTACGGTGGAGCTGGTGGTGTCTGGCAAAAGACTAATTTTTGGGTAATTGGTGTAAATAATCAACTACGAGGAGGTAATCTTTGCCTTGCATCGTGAACAAATCAGTTCCAACTCTTGTCCAAGCTTCAGTTGCTGGTGGCAACGGTTACATTGGTTCTCGTTGATGTTTTCGTCTAAATTCAAGACAGGTGCTGCATCGTGAAATCATTTCAGTGATCTCAGAAGACATGCCAGGCCAATACAAAGCTTCTCGAGCACGAGCTTTGCACCTTTCTATGCCTAGATACCCTTCATGTATCCGGCTCTTCATCTCTCTCCTCACTGACGTTGGCACAATGATGCGACTGCCCCTTAGCATGATGTCTTCTGCTTCTGAAATTTCATCTAGATGGGTTAGGTATGGCTTGACTGCATCTGGAACTGTCTTTTTGTCATTAGACCATCCTTCTCGAATGAACAACTTCAATTTCTGCAGGTTTTCATCCTTTGCAGTTTCTCTCTTGAGCTCATCTAGTTTGGACATGGACACTGGTAGACTCTTGACTATGGAGTGGACGTGACATCGAATTTCTTGTTCTGGAACTTCTGGTTTGACTTGATGATTGAGATATGCTCTGCTGAGTGTGCCGGCTACAGGAATCTCACTTCCTGGGGTAAATTCAACTCCAAGATCATATTTCTGAAGTCGTAGCAGGAATCTCTGGATTCTTGGGGGTGCTTTGTTGACCGGTTTGGAAAAATTGCCTTCAATGGCTTGTGATCTGATCGTATTATAACCCGCTTTCCATAGGTGTATTCATGAAATCGTTCGCAGGCAAATACTATAGCGAGTGTTTCCTTCTCAATCTGTGCGTAATGTTGCTCACATTGAGTCATGGCTCTGATGGCAAATGCAACTGGTTTCCATTCGCCATCATAGTTCTGTTCCAGAACTGCTCCAAGGCCTGCTTTCGATGCATCTGTGGTGACTCGTGTGGGTAGTTTCGGTTCATAATAAGCTAACACTGGACTGCTGGTAATCATCTTCTTCAGCGTGTTTATTGCTGTTTCGTGTGGCTGTTCGAAGCGCCATTGGACATTTTTCTCGAGTAGTTGACGCAGTGGTGCTGTTTCTTTCGACAGATTTGGCAGGAATTTACCGAGATAATTAATCATTCCCAGAAATCTTTGTAGCTCTGTTTTGCTAGTTGGAGTTGGCATCTTCAGGATAGCTTCGATTTTGCGAGGATCTGGCTTGATTCCATCAGCAGAGATAAGATGACCAAGAAAGGTTATTTCTGTCATTCTGAAGGTACATTTGTTCTTATTCAACTTGAGTCCCGACTCTCGAACTCTGTCAAGGACCTGCTTGAGGGTTTGTCGTGCTCTTCACTATCTTTCCCAAAGACAATAATGTCGTCTTGATCGTTGAACGTAAGCAATTTGGAGCTTTCGTCATCGACTTTTATTTGCCAGTAACCACTTGACGCATCCAATTTTGAAAAAATTTTTGCTCCTCCAAGCTTAGCTAATATTTCATCGACAGTTGGCATGGGATGATGATGCCGTTTAATTGCTTTGTTAAGATCTCTTGGGTCAAGACATAGGCGGATTTGGCCATTAGGTTTCTCGACGATCACCAAGGAACTCACCCAATCAGATGGTTCGTCAATCTTATCTATCACGTCAAGTTGTTCATTCTTTCTAATTCAGCTTTAAGTTTGTCCATCATCGAGATGGGAATTTTTCTAGATGGATGTATGACGGGCTTAACTTCAGGATCAGTAATAATATGATGCTCTCCTTGTAAACAGCCGATTTCACCAAATACGTCTGTATATTCTGTCATTAAATTTGGATCTGAGGTGTTGACAGCCCATACTCGTTTGATAATATTGAGCTTTTGACAAGTTTGGAGTCAAAGAAGTGGTGGTGATTCGGTGTTGGTGACGATGAACATAACTTCGTGACTTTCATTCTTGTTTACTAGGTTTAATTCACACTTCCCAATTGCTGGTATATCTCCTCCATTATATGCTGATAATTTCACATTAGTTTTTTCTAAGATGGGCTTGATGTTGAGTTGGTTGTATGTTGATAATGGCAGGACGTTCGCTTGAGCTCCTGTGTCCATCTTATATCGGATTTTAGAACCATTTGATTGTAAACAAATGAACCAATCTCGCTCATCAACTTTCGGGGACATTGTATTTTCCTCAGGTGTAGCTTTACTTTGTTTACTCTGTTCAACAACCCCAATGAAAAATTCTTCATTGTCGCTTTCTTGTTGTAGTTTGGC